AAAAGGTGTAGACAACTTTGACTCTTACAGTAGCTAAATCTTTTCGAAACATCATAATTGAAATATATAATCCGTTTGCCAGATAAAATTAAACTGGTTCCGAGTCTTATCCTTTGTTGGAGCCCCATTTTTCTATCAAAATGCATTTTTCGAACAATGATTTGACTCCACTGTAATCATATATTTTTCTATGAAATAATATTGTACGTAAATTCAAAATATTTCCTTATTTTTTAACCACACATTCTTCATTATAACACTATTGCAAAATGCATTTTTTGTTAAAAAATGGGCCTTGGAGAAGCCCTTATTTAGATACATAATCAATTAAGTTCGAAACAAGATTCAACTTAAAAAGAGTAAGACATCAGGAATTTTACTTCAAGAAGGGTTCACAAATCAGGTATTAACTTTGACAATTACAAAAATCAGGTGTTAAGTTTCAAACTTGTAAAAATCAAGTATTTATTAATTAATTAAATATTTAATTGTAATATAATATAATTAACTCACCCCACCTCCACCGCCCCTACTACTCTAGCGACTGTTCCCCTAACGCGCTTAATTTCGACGACAATTTCGGTGACCGTTCTGCCATCGCTTAATTCCGACGACTGTTCAGATTCTAGCAATTGTTAAGGTCACAATTATGTGCAATTCGGTCACAGATATCTAATTAATTAGTTAAAAATTAATTTTCGGTTACAGTTTATTTGCAGGTCACGGATTTCCAAATTAGTTGGTCACAAATTCTTTTACGATCACAGATTATATATTTTTAGGTCACGGATAACAAAATGGTTGGTTACAAGTTAAACACCACCCCACTTCCAACACCACCAAACCAAATGCTAAAAAGATAAAAACTCAACACAGACTCTACCTATATATTATTTTGAAAAACATCAGTTTGCATCCATTTTTCTTCACATAAACATCATCAATTCTACTAGCCATTTTTCATCATTCTTAAAATAAGACTTAAAAATCAAAAAGACGACCTGCATCTATACTACCAGGTTCATGGGAGTATACATTCAACCCATGAGGCACATAAACTTCCAAAGCCTCTGGAACAGACTGATTCTCAAACATCCAATCAAACCGAAAGCCCAATGAGTCAGGATCTGTACTTTCGGATATCCATAATTATTGTAATCTATGGAGGGAAAAGTGCTACGGCACGGGTGCTCAGGGAGGTGGTCTCTGGCAGTGGACTGTCGTCTCCAACGACGAGCGGGAGAGAGGAAAAGAATGGGGAAGATGAGGAGTGGCGCGAGAGATAGGGGAAGGGAGTTGAGAGATAAATTAGGTTATCAATTAGGATTTTAATATAATACCTGATTTTTGAATAAATAAAGTTTAGACTTGATTTTTAAAAATCAATCTTTAAACACCTCGATTGATATAATTACCACTTTTACTTCAAATTTAAAAGGGTCCATTTAGAGAAGAATGCTAAGAAAAGGCTACACTGCCTTAAGCATTAATTAGATTAAAATGGCAATTATTAAATAGGTCACATGGGAAGATAATTTTGGCAATATAGTATCAAGATATTAATACATATTGATGCACTGTCTCTGCATGATGTATCTAAAGGAGACTTTGTACTATAATTATCTTCTTTTATCAATAGGTGATGGGTCCAAAAAAGATCATTTTGTTTTGTAAAATGGGACTTGTCTTTTAGATTAAATTGAAAAGTATACATTTTTAATCTTTTGTACAAAAGGTCTTTTTTACAGTTAACATTGTTACAAATGACTTTTTATATTTTGCGATATTTTTTTCCTCTGAAAACACATCCAACTTAAGAAAATGGACATTCGATCAAATTAAACAAGCACAGTGCAAGATTTTCTTCGATTTAGATTATTGGTTGAAAATATGAAGTCCCATTAAAGTTGATTACTATCTAAAACGGTAGTTGCTGCTTTGCTATCATATTCCTCCCGTAGGCAAAGGTCATAATCAGAGTACACTCCTTGTTTGCTCATTTATAAAGCTTATGAATAAAAAATTAGTTTCTTTACTAATGAAAACATGCTGCCATTTCCAATCTATTGTTTGGGTAAGCTTAAATTTTTTTTTAATAAATAAATAAGTTTGTTTCAAGGTAAATAGTTCTTTGTTAATCAAATAAGTTACTTATGACAATATTTCTTAT